CTTTTTGCAGTACTCAACCCATATTATTTCTATTGAGAATTCGATTCTTACTTTATTGAGATTGATAATTTAAGAAATTTATTTTTAATGTGCTACCAGTTTATGCATTGTCATTATATAGAGAGATTAAGGTTTTAATTTTTCTGACCATACGTACGCCTTGCAGAAAGAACCATTAACTTCTTTGTTCACCTAATCCAGAACTGTGTCTGTGACCCTAAGTTGTAACAGAGAAGTCCCTCTCTTGGTCGCGATCTACCTATAGGTTTCACAAAATCTTTTCTGATGGTTTGACCATAAAAACGATATTAAATAAAACTAGTAAAAGGCAACTGTAACTGTCTTTTACCATGAATAATCCGGAAAATGGTAGCGAATGTGTGAATTCTGTGAATGAAATGCAAATTGATTCCACTCAACAAGAAAATTCAGAAAATGGTAGCGAATGTGTGAATTCTGTAAATGAAATGCAAATTGATTCCCCTCAACAGGAAAATCCAGAAAATGGTAGCGAACGTGTGAATTCTGTGAATGAAATGCAAATAATTGATTCTACTCAGCAGGAAACTTGTGAGCTTTCTTACAATAAATCTTGAACTTTTAATTTTCTTCTGTGTATTAATATCAAATGCATTGATACCATAAATGTCTATATACTAGCATTTAAATATTCAGAGCGACTAAAAAAAATTCTAAAGAATTTTAATATAAAAATTCTTGATCACTCACAATTTTGTCGACTTAAAAAATGTCTTGGAACAGGAGCATCAGCGGACGTATATTTGGGAATTTCTCAAGAAAAAGAATACGCATTAAAATGTATAAAAACTAATTTATACATGGAAGATAAAAAAATCGAAAGAAATCTCAAAAAAATCTCCAGAGAGGTAGCGTATTATCCAAAATTCTGCATTTCGTCCCCAGCATAAAAAAAAAATAACAACTGATATAACTGTATGTAGCTGGAACTTCTTCATAAAGTTAATCATCCTAACGTAGTTAAATTTTATGGGATTTTACAAGGTGTGAAAATTTAATTTTGAAGGAATAATTCATATCAGAATTTGTAATTTTGACTTAACAATAAATAACTAATGAGTTTAGATCCGAATACTGATGATATTACGATTGTATTGCAATTCGCTAATAATGGAAATTTACGTAGTTATCTAAAAAAAAAAAAGGCAAAATAACAATTT